TAGCTCACAGTTCCAGGGGACACGATCCATCACGGCAGTGAAGTTACAGGAAGTAGGAGGAGGAAGTGGCTGATCACACTGTGTCCACACTCATGAAGCAGTAAACCAGGAATGCTGTACTTTTTATTCTGTCTGGAACCCCAGCCCACGGTGTGGTACTGCCCACTTTTAGGGTGAATCTTCCCATATCGGTTAACTCAATCTAAATAATCCCTCACAGACATGCCCTGAGATTGGTTTTCATGGTGATTCTAAGTCCCATTGAGGTGACAATCAAAATGAAATACCACAACAGACAACATTGAAAACTACTAATTATGAAGACTCCCAGAACTGAGCAATTTTCATTGTCGGTCACTTTTCAGCAAGGTGGCCAATTGCTCACAGTATTTTCTTCACCCTAACTTCTACTTCAATAATTACTTCCTCTGGTTCCAGGTTAAGCCATGTATAAACGGTCCCCAAATGGCAATGCATTGTTTCTGTTTTGATTGGAGATGTCACAGGTCCTTCTGGACATGTGGACCGTTTCTGTTATTTCCATTTAAAATTTCTTTGGGTGTGTTTCCTTGCAATGCTGTGTTACAAAATTCTTTCCTCTTGTCCCTGTTATCAAAAGGAAAAGAATAACTATTCAACACACACACACACACACACACACACACACACACACACACACAGTCCCTTCACATATGTCCCTTCACATTGGCCCATCTGCAAAGATGCCAAACAACTGTCAATGGTGGACACAAAGTGGAAGAAAAGTGTGGAGGGAAGTATTAGGAAATTACAGTAGATTCATGGGGCATTCCTAGATAGAACATCTAAAGGTTTAACTCTTAGTGAGAAAGCCAGGGAATCATGCAGATATTTATTTGGAATTCTGATGAGGGTCAAGTTCACATCAGGTATATTTTCTAACTTGTATGTGACAGTAACTGCCTCAACTAATCAGTGGCCTTAACCACCTATCCTTAGTCAGTATCCCACCTTGGCCTTCCTGTTTCCTAGCGACCATCAAGCTTGTAGAAATTTCACTATTAAAGATCTCAAAATGTTAGCTTTCTATTCTAGTGTTCTTAAGTACATGGATAGGAGGGAGATGATTGGCTATGGGCATAGATATGAATTTTCATCTCAAGAGTTATTGTTTGGAAACATTCAGAGTCTATATTCATTTGATTAACTAACACAATTCGATTTTTAATAAGCTTCCCTGTTTCTTCAATGCTAATTTGAAAGGCAAAATTAAAAATGAAACTGCTTCATTTAGTGATTAGTGAACTTAATTATATTATACATAATAGTCAAATTATCCTGTCCACTCATTACCTTCCCCTGGCTAGTAATTCGTTTGTGACAGGGAGTGACAAGTGCTGCTTCCAGAGGAGCCTCCACCCGACCACTCTGCTGCTTTGCAGAGGTCACTCATTAAGGGGACAGTCTCAAACTTTAACTTGCATCATAATCCCCTGCTAAACTTAGATTAGCGCCAACAAGACAGATGAGGGGGTAAAGATGCTTGCCACCATGTCTGAGGATCTGAGTTCTATTCCCAGAACCCACATAGGAGGAGAGTACCAACTCCTACAAGTTAGCCTCTGACCTCCACGTGCATGGTTTGGCACTTGTTCACACACTTGCTAAAAAATAAATATTTGGGGGGGCTGGAGGGATAGCGCAGCCATTAAAGGCTAAGGCTAACAATATTATTTTATGAAAAATAAATATTTTTAAAATTCATATTACGAGATCCTTGCTTCCAAACATTTCCAGTTCAGTAAGTTTGATGTGGGGCACAAAACATTGGCTTGATTGATAACATGTTCCCAAGCCAATATGGGGCAACAGTTTTCAGAACCACTGCTCCACAGAAATGGAGAAACTTCTCCAATGTGTCAAGTCATAGAACCTTTAACGATGCTCCCATTGCCTATTGGCTGAAGTGTCTAGATGATGCAATGCCTTTAGGCCCGCTGTTCTAGATATTATTTTGCTTGTATGTGGCAAACCCCACAATAATATGACAAAAAAGGCCAGACAAATTTAAAGAGCTAAAATGTGGCTTTGCATTTATGCTGCGCAAATATGGTGACAGCAAAAGTCTACAGAGCCAGCTGGCTGGAACCTCCTGGGCCAGGCTGTGCATAAAACACAGTTCTACCAAAGACCACTACGGATTGCTTTATTTGTCTATAGATTTCCTGAAAATTCTGGGTCCTATTAGGAAACCTGGAAGATATAGAGGGGAGAACTAGGAAGAAAAAAAGGGAAGGAGGGATGAAGAGAGAGAGAGAGAGAATTTGTGACTTGGCAAAGAAATTCTTACCTTATATATTTCTATGTCATGTAAATAAATCTCTTTTGTTCTTCATTAGATTCAACAATGCAACAAAGAGTTTAAATATTTTCACTAGGCATTATCTTCAAATTTTCTTTTATGGCAAAAAACAAACATAAGCAATTTAAATGAGAAAATCTGACATTGTGGTGTAATTTTATTTAGCTGGTGTAAATGGAAAATTTCACAGGAAAAATGTTTGCATCCATTTATAGTGTAATTCATAAATCTTTTCAGCAAAACATCCACTTGTATGTCTCTGAGGGCATAAAAGAATTCTTTTTTATATTGTGTTGTGGTAGTGGTTGTTTGGGGTTTCAGCAAGAGAGCAAAGACGAAGAATAGTAAAACAAGTCCCAAAGACCAAGTGTTGTGAAGCCTAGAAACAAAGTCTGAGACCATACAGGGAATCTTGAGGCTTTGTGGGACTGGTTTTGCCAACCTTAGCTGATGATCCATTTCAAAGGTAGAGAGGAGAATTTGAAGACTGGTGAGGGGTGGAGAGGAAACACAGCAGTGTAAAGAGCTATAAAGAGCCAGGCATGAAAACACCCTTCTGTCACCCCGGCACTAAAGAGACCAAAGCAGAAGGATCATGAATTCAAGGATAGCCTGGGCCACATAGCAAGACCCTGTCTAAAATATCAACCAAGATCCAGCAAGTATCAGTAGGTAAAGGTGCTTGCTGCCAAGGCTGATGAGTGAGTTTTATCCCTGGGTCCTACATGGTATGGATGGAGAAAATGGACTCCAGCAAGTTATCCTTTGACCTCCACATGCGTGCTGTGACACTCCTGCGCACACACACGTGCTATATGTATGTATATATGCATATACACATATATATGTACATGCACCATATATACACACTATGTGTATATGTAATTTTTAAAATTAAAGCATCAAACAACAAGCGGTGGAGTTTGGTGATTTGCATGCCGAGCAAGGGCCTGGTGAGGATGTTCATAGGTCTGAGGCCAAGGTCTGGAGCACACAGCGGCTCTGCTAGCGTCCCAGCAACGGTTACATCACACACCTGGTACTCTGGCATAAGTCACACATTGCTTTTACAGTTGAGCAGGAGAGACGAGTGCTATGTGAATTTTCAGTTTTTCACTTTATCAAAAAGTCTTTAATGAGCCAAGCTACTGAATTTCAACATCGCAAATCTTTAGTATTAGCACTTTCATATCATGCTTGTTAAAATAAGATTTTTATGCGTACTTCCTTCACTTATTCGTCACTATGGAAACCTGCAAGCTTTATTGATTCTTTTTTCCCACAAACCTAAGTAGATAATATGTAGAAACAATCAATCAATCCCCTGGATTGCTGCGGTGGCCACGGAGACATGTAATAAGATTTTTGTGCGGCAGAGGGTGCTGTGGCACTGCGTTCGCTCTCCCCAGGGCGGTGACTTTCTCAGTCTTTCCTGTGAGGATTTATGAAGTGGGAAAGACGAGCGGTCTTCTTACACTCTCCTGAATGTTTCTCTTCTCACTCCCAAAGTCACTTGCAAGCGATAGCTTCTGAGCTTCTCCTGTCTGGCACTGGAGTTTTTACAAATGATGTGGTCTGTCCCTATCCATGCCACTGGTATATTTTGGAGACTTGTTGATTTCAAACATTGTTGTTTCATTCATTTCATCAAACTGCTCTTTAGGTATAAGAAGTCCATTTTTTTAAAAAAGTCGGTTTTACAGTTGAAGTGGATTGGGTTTAATTTTTTGTTGTTGTTGTTTAACTGACAGTAATCTCCTGCCCTGGAATACTTCAGATCTCTGGGCATGGAAAAACTACTTTTCTGCCCAGTCTTTTTAAATTTTGTGATATTAGGTATTGGAGTAGTTTGAGGAATATTTATGGAATTACAAAATGCTATTGCCAAATGACATTATTCTTTTATTTATATGGTATTCAGATTGACATTAGAACAAATCACAGCCAAAATAAGATCTTACAATCAGTCTTTCACAGAAATAATGTTAAATTTGCTAAAGACCAAAGTAACACCTTCTCAAGTCAGTGACATGTAGTTCAAGCTACAGTCTTTAGTGAGGGCTCTGCTTATTTCCTACCCAGGTCATTAACAGTCCTTCCTTCAGGGCTATACTTGGAATAATATGTAAGGTAATTTTAGGGGGAAAAATAGTACAGGGAAAAATAGAAATTTTTAATTGTCCTTATGAACCCCCTATAAGGAAAGTAAGAAGATGCGGGGTGGTGTTTACAAAGAACACTGTTAGATCTGTAATATGTTTGGTCAGCATCACTCACTTGCAAATCAAATGGCAAAGTCTCAACTCTCAGACCAGAAGGGACTCTAGGAAGCATCTGATTCTATCTTCACATGAATCACATGTGACAGTAACTAGCACAGACCTGAGAAGTAATGCTTTGATGAGTCAAGGCTTTATCTTCCTTGCCATCAACAGGATCCCCAAAGGCTAGCTGCTGCTAACTGGAGCCGAGTCCTCTTCAATTCCAAGATGACTATAGATACTCTTTCTGATAATTATGACAGCCAGGCAGCAAAGAGGAAAAAACCAAGGCAGGAATCCAAATTCCCGTACCCAGGAGTCATCTCCAAAACCCTAAAAATTAAAGCAAAATTTTCTAGTTACAAACTCTGTTTTGAGTCATTCTTTTCTGTTTTCAGTGGGAAAAGCTACAGATGACCACAAGTGAGAGGAGGAAGATCTTCTGTTCTGTCACGTTCCACGTCATCGCCATCACCTGTGTGGTGTGGTCTTTGTATGTTTTGATAGATCGGACGGCAGAGGAAATCAAGCAAGGCAACGACAATGGTAAGAGCCCATCCTGGGCCTTCTCCTTCTCTGGGATTCTCGAGTTCCACTGAGGGTGGACAGGGAGGCTATACCAGCAATTTAAGCTTGCAGGTGGGACATCTGAGCAAAAGCCAGTACTTAGGGCCTCAAATTGAGATGTGGGATGCATTAGGTCAATGTCATCAGTCACTCCAGACTTCTCAGGGGCTCAGTAAGCATCAGGCTCTGCCTGATACGAAAATGCCAGTTGCTGAAAAGCAATTGTAAATTTTTATTTAATTCACCCTACTCTTGCTTCTTTGAATCCATAGGATGACATTATGGTAGAAAAAGTGTCAGCTCTCTTGAACTTGAAAATTTGATACAGTAGGTTACCACCACAGTTTAAAATTTTAGCCACACTCAGTTTGTGACTGACAGCAGCCAAGCTGCAAAGAAACATATTCCTAAAATATATTCTTACATTTAAAATGGATATTTCAATGCCTACCTTAATCTACTTGTTATGCTTTGATTTGTGAGTTCATTAAAATAAAGTGAGTTCATTTCAGAACATTTAAAGTGGATAGACCATTTCAGAGAGCAGCAGAAAACAGGAAATACGACGGCTTTAAGTATCATTTATACTCACTTCTGATGATCTGACTCGAAGAGCTTCAGAGTGCAAACAGCGAGCAGTAATCCCACAGCGCCCGTGGAACTGGTGAATTTTAAAGAGAAACTGTTCAGATTGTAGCGTTGTTAGACTCTAGTGTTACGAAAAGTGTTGCCATGCCCTCCCCGAGAAGAAAAGTAAAGAAATAAAAAGAAAAGATAAAGTGAAGGAGAAAAACAGAATTTTAAGTCAGCCTGCTTTCTGTTTGGTTCATTCCCAGGACTGTCCATTTGGGGGCAGCAGTGCACACAATATGAGCGCGCTCTAAACCCACACCCCTTCAAGGGAGGACAGGTAGGATTTGAGCTAGGATTGCTTATGTAATTTAAAAGAGGGGGAAGGAGGAGAGTGGAAGAGGGACAGAGTTGTAGATCCTGCTGTCCTTTTCTGAAGGAATCAAAACCCCAAGTCAAACCTACTCAAAAAGTAAGCAGAATGGGATTTTTTTTCACTGTTTCAATTTTTTTTATTTGTCCAGTTATTGACTCATTTATATATCATTTATATGAAGCTACCATATCATTTATATGGGTGCTATTATGCATTTTACTGAGATTCTTGCTTATAATGTGTCATATTATATCGGGATTAAATAAGCTGTCCCCTCCTGGCTTAAAAAAATTCCAAAGCCGGGTGTGGTGGTGCACGACTTTAATCCCAGCGCTAGAGAGGCAGAGGCAGGAGGATCTCGGTGAGTTCAAGGCCAGCCTGGTCTACGTAGTGAGTTCCAGGCCAGCTGGGGCTACAGGGAGACCCCGTCTCAAAAAGAACAAAAACAAAAAATAAAAATAAAAAATAAACAATTAAAAAAAAAAATCCACATACCAAGTAACAGTGGAAAAAGTGTCCGGGATGCTGCAGTCACGTGTAGACGGAAAAGCAGCGGCAACCCTGTCTAACTGTCACCCAGTGCACGCCCTGGTAGTCAAATGTATTGCTGGTGAGGCAGGGCAGATCTGGTGACCAACGGCCACAAGATTTCCTTTTAGCAGTTGGCCACGTGGCGCCCCCTGCTGGAGAACCATGCATTGCAGAAGAAAGTTAGCCATGCCCCCCCCCCCCCAGTGGCCACCCTGACTTGGCCCGCTAGTGGAGAGCTACAGGGGTCTTCTCAGGCTACAAGTGAAGGAGAGGGCACTCTCCTAGGGGTAACAAGAAGCAGCCCCTCGTTTCATTCGTGTTACGCCCCTATGAGACATCCATGGGAAATTTTTAAAGTCCTCATGTATTTAGTCAGCTGTAATTCTCAGACGCTAAGACCTGTCCGTTGTAGTTGCTTCTCCTAAAATGAATACAACTGTCTCAACTTTAGCTACTCAAATCTCTCCAGAACTCAAAAAACACACATCTGTTCCATTTTAATGCCTCCCCATTCAAACTCCAGCCTCCACCCCATTTATTCTTAAGCCTTTAGTTGCTGTCTACATGCTGATAACCCAATTTTACATATGGCTCATGATACAGTCCCAACTTTGTGTCTGCCTACCCCCTGAAAGCCTCCGTTTGAAGTTCTTCCGGGAACCCCAAGCTCAATGTGTCCACGCACAGTCATCCTACATGTGCAACACAGTGCTTCAAAAAAGGCATCCCTAACACCCAGCTGCCAATCTTTCGGTTTTTCTCTCTCTCCTCTCTCTCTCTCTCTCTTTCTCTCTCTCTCCCTCTCTCTCTCTCTCTCTCTCTCTCTCTCTCTCCCCCTCCCCCTCCCTCCCTTCTCTGCCATCAACTTCTCTCTTTGCCCTTAATCACCAAATCCTATGTATTCTGCTTTATATGCCTAGACTCTTGCCCACTGACAATATTCATGTACAAACTACACTTTTATAAAACAAGAGCGTAAAAGCCTCTTAGCTAGACTTTCCCAGGCTTTACCCACTTTTAACCCATGTTCATTAAGTACCACAAAATATAAAACCATTAATCTGAATAAATCCTGTCCCCACTTAGCCACGATTGTTACCCATCAGATCAAGCATCCATTCTACCCCTCCAATCTACTTCTGGATATTTGCTCAGCTCTCTCCTCTATTGTAAGACAATTCTTCCCAGATTCCCTTGCAGACTACACATACAGAGTAGGAGGAAACTATTCTCAAACACCTCCCTAACTCTAATTCCACGGAAACTTAGTTCAAAATACAGGTCCAGGGCCAGCAGCATTGTTGCCTCCGGCCATTTGTTAGAAATGCACATCGTAGCCTCCCACTCCCCTAGATCGATGTACATGGGATCTGTTTTACAAGGCTGTAGGTGGTTCTGATGCTAAAATTTGAAAGCCACGGCTCTAATGTGTTTCCATAGCATCTGGCACTTACCCCACAGTGGACTTCTACCTGGCTTGCATGTTCAAATTGCCTCTGCAGTTTCTGTAACACCACAAAACCTGCAGTTTCTCCAAGAGAGTCCAACTTACTTCTGTGAGTGTCTAGTCATCTGGTGGGAGACATTGAGGGTGTCTAGGCTAAAAATGGCCATTTGTGAAGAATATAAGGAAAAGGTAAAAATGAATGAAAAACAGTAAAACTCCTACATTGCTGGTTCACTCCCCTCTCCCCACTGTCTTCTTCATCCCATTCTCTGTGGAAGTTGGGTCAGGGGAAATGGACTGAGGTTGTTCTTTGGCATTTCCCACTCAGCAGCCTGCACTGGAGAGTTATGTGTAGACAGGACCACTACAGCTAAAGTGGCTCCCATCTCTTCCTGTTCCTGCCTCCTCATCCTCACCCCCAGGAGCTTTTTGGCTAAGAATGCCCCAATCTGCAAATGATTCAGACTTTTATCCAATTTCTCTGAAGCCAAACCCTAACAGGATTTCCCTGGTTAGGGATAACTTTTCAAAGGTGGGTTTTCTGTGTACGATCCATACTTATTCCTAAGAATTAGTTATCTCCATCTTTTTATCTGCTTTTATTACTCAGGTCATGATTTTACTTCCTTGAAGTATTTGTTCTATTATCTGTTACTCTTTGATCTCAGTTTCCTCATCTGTAGTAGCTTATTGCAATAATAGTGCCCATTCGGGTCATGCTTCCCTGTTACCATACCTTGAGTATTCCATCCCATTATCAGCTCCGCTAGGCCATGTGATTGCTTTGGGCAAGAGCAGAAACACGATACAGTTAGAGACTTTAAGAGTTCTTGCACATGGTGGTCTTGATCTCTCTTGCTGCTTTTCAAAAACTTATGTTTTTACATTTATTATTTATTTGTGAGAAGGGTCACGCATGTGCCACAGTGCACTAGTGGAGGTCAATGGATAAATTGTGGGAATTGGTTCTCTAGTTCTATCATGTGGGTCCTGTGGACCTAATTCACATCCTCAGGTTTGGAGGCAGGCACTTGACTTGCCAAGCCACCTTGCTGGAACTGCTGCTTTTTTAAACACTGCAACTGCCATGGAAGGAAGGAAGAGCCAACATGCTGGGTGGTTAAAAACGTTAACAAATCCCCACACAGCTTGGCTGCACCTGCCATTCTGGCTAACCCATTCTTGACTATGCCGCTGCCGGTATGCCAGTGCTCTGCAGACACGTCCAGTTAAGTCTGTAGAGAACAGCCCAGTTGGCTCAGGCCTGAAAAAAAAAAATCTAACTGAAGTGCAGAATTGAGACTGAAATAAATGTTTGTTGTTTTAAGTCACTGAGTTCAGTATGGTTTTCTATACAGCAAAGACCAATTGATACATCACTTAAAAATGAAGGCAAAATGTTCACTTACCCATTGGGTTCTTAGTGTCAACTATGTGAATTAACAGTGCCTGCTACCCACAAAGTTCTCTGTGAATAGATACTGCCCTGACCTTACTGATCTCAGTGTTTCCTGCCTTTGATTAAGCTGCAGAGTAACTTAGGTCTTTCTAATTTCCATTAGGTTCCGACTTGCCTTAGGTAATAAAATCTCCAGTATCCAAGAGGGCCGAAGCCCTGTTAGCTGCCAGCCTGAGTGTTGGCTTCGAGGCAGTCTTATAAAGTCTCACCTTCTGTCCCTGACATCCCTGGCTGTTACAACTCTTTTCATAAGAAAGATACCTCAAAAATAGCAACATAAATAAATTCCTTAAGTCTTTAAGGAATAACTGCATGCCCTACTTTTGTCAAGGAATTTGTATATTAGGCTTTGAGCCAATAACAGTGGCTTTAAAATTGGGCTGTAGCCACTGACTAGCTCCTTCCAAATGCATTTGCTTTTCAGAAATATTATTTCTCAGGAAATGTATTTACCTTGGTAATAGAATCCCTCTCCACTGGAACACAGGCTATGATATCTTTACTGGCTCAGGTTTTTTTTTCCTCTTTTTGATTTTCCTCTAAATCAAATTGGATAAACCAGATGGTTCTATGTGAGTTTATAATATAGCTGTAGA